TGTAGACCTCCTCCACCTCCTTTCCTAGTACTAACACTGTAATGAAATCAAGCTTACTGTGTTTCTCTAGACAGGACATTTTCTTCAAAACCTTCAACATAACTTTGTTTACTTATCAATAGTGCCACATGAATAGAACTACACTGTGTAAGGATGCCTTTTAGTGCAAGTTTAAAACAAGAAAGTTCAATTAAAACAAGCTATAGGAAGTTATGTCATGTCAGACATTCTTCTAGCATAACACTGAAGTGCTCAGAAAGGATAAGTTCATTAATTTCATTAATGCAAATTTCAATATCATCATACCATAACGCCATAATATATTAAGAAAACTGGCACCCGGCGCTAATTTCAAGGCTGTAGCCCCTGGGGACAAAGCCATGAAGAGCTCCATTCTAACTATGACTGTGATGTGGTAGATGTGAACCGCAGTATTCATAAGAGTAAAATAGAGTGGAAATGTTCTCTGGCGCTCGGCCACTCAGCTTCAGCTTGCTTTATGTCACTGCACTGCCACAGCTGTCACGTCGTTTTCCTCTAGAGCAAACGGCCAAGAGCCTCTCCGGAACACTCAGCTCTGTGTGGAGGCTGTGGTGTCGAATCAGAAACAGCAAAAAGAAAAAAAAAACGTGTCTTTGAGGCTCTGAGACAAGTGCTGCAATTGAAGCAATCTTCTCAAGCTTTCACTCGAATATCCTGTAAGAGTAGACTTTTAAAGTTCAAAAGAGGGTTAGGGGCGAGAGAGAGAGAGAGTGAGAGAGAGAGAGAGAGAGTGAAAGATGAGTGCACATATCTTCTTGGTCTCTTATGATTAAACAGCATTCGATAAAATCTCTCTTTTACGTTGGGTTTTTGTTCACTTCCTTTATGACCTTCAACGACCTTCACAATGCCGTTATTTTTGCAAGCCCTGTCCGTCACGCCCTGCACTCCTGTTGGTCAGCAGAGCGTTTGTGGCAGTGCTGACCAGAGGTGGAAAGTAATGAATTGCAGCTACACGCAGTAGGAATACTTAAGTGCAAATTCCCCATGTTTTTTTTTTTTTTACTTTTTTCCATTATTTAATTTACCTAAATTAATTTTTTATTACGGAACCTTGCTGGTGACATCCGGTATAAATAAAAAACAATGCATGGCTATGACTTAGTAAGGTGTGGGAACGAGATAATTAAGTCATGACCACAACTTAGTAAGGCATGGGAATGAGGTAATTAAGCCTTGACAACAGCTTAATAAGGCATGATCTCATTTTGGTGACATTCCTTATAAATAAAAATAATGTGTGGCCACACTTTAGTAAGGTGTGGAAACTTGATAATTATATCATGGCAATGAATTAGTAAGGCATGGGAATGAGATAATTAAGCACAGCTTAATAAAGCATGATCTTGTTCCCACAAATTACTAAGTCGTGGCCACAACTTAATTACCTCGTTCCCATGCCTTATTAAGTCATGGCCACACATTAGGATCTCATTCCCACACGTTAATATGGCATGGCCATGCATTATTTTTACTTATACAGGATGTCACCAGCAGGGCTCCGTACCTTACTAAGTCTTGGCTGCAACTTAATTATCTTGTTCCCACGCCTCACTAAGTCATGGCCACGCATTAGGATCTTGTTCCCACATGTTAATACGGTGTGGCCACACATAATTTTTATTTATACGGGATGTCACCAGCAGGGTTCCATATTTAATAACCCTTACAAAATTATAAAAAAAAGAAAAAATCCAATTTTCACAACTCAGTTTCCACCCTGAGGAAGTAGTTCACTAGATGCCAGCTCGTTTAGCTAAATCTGTCATTTTAGAACAGCGAGTATAAAGTATGTAACCTAAAGAAGTTTTTATATGCAATTTAACTGAACAAACTATTACTCTGAGAAACTGAGAAAGTAATTACTTGGCTAGCTAATCTTGGCAAAATATGTTTTTTTAAACTCGTAACTCAAAATTTCCAAACTATATCTTGGTAAAATCAAAAGAAACCTCTCATCTGGGAAAGTCGGGATGGTGTTCAGGTTCAGTGCGTGATGTCAGATCAACTTGGCTGCTCACACCGCTAATAGTAATAAAGTTCCACTTCTCTACTTTAAAATGGGATTTGCTTTAGATCAGTTGACAGACAGATACAGTAGATGATTATGTCTATAAAATGAATCGTTTGCTGTTGTTAGACAGTAAATATGTCATGGATGTTAAAGTCATTCATATCACAGATGTTAGCTGGATAGCTTGTTGGCAACAATGCTCGCTTTCATGAAGGAGTCCCCACTTTGTAGCTCGACTGCACAGAGGTTGAAAATGACGTAATTCCAAGCTCCAACTTCCCATTTCCGAGTTAAGTCAAACACGGCATTACACAGTCAATAAAGCCAAAGAAACCTTGAGGCTTGGACCTTCTGTCTGTAATATAGAATATTGACTTTAAACTAATTTAAAGTACATTTGGAATAAGAAAGTGTATTTTGCTGCTGTCGGAAGAAAACCTCGTATCTCCATTTTTGGCGTTTTTCAGTTTTAGACATAATCTGAAAATGCCTGTTGCCCTTTACATTATATGTAAATTTCATGATGAATGGACCAAAATGACAAAAAAGTCTGGTTCCATTGATTACATTAAAAGTAAAGGCTTTTTTTTTCCTTTTCCTGTAACGTTACCATTTTGGAGATACAAGGTTTTGGTCCGACAACATTGCTTTACACTCTTAATTTCTTTATTAAGTCTTTTACTCTAACATAGGTAGGAATTTGCACTACTCTTTCCACCCCTGGTGCTGACCTATACAGTGATGGCCAGAAATGGGCAGTGTTATGCTGTAGGCCATACTGCTGTTCATTGAAAGAAAAAAACTGTGTGCATGTCTGTGTCTGCCTGCATAAACGTGAAAAAAGAGTGTGTGTCCACCCAGTCTTGCTCAGGGAAGACCCTCGGGGCATTCAGGATCTAAAGCGCTTCACTCTGCTTTTTAAATGCTTTCCCTGCGTAAGTTTAATGAAGCGAAATATAAGTCTGAATAATTCAATAAATTTTTTCCCACTGCCCGGCTTTATTCTGCGTTGTTTTTGTGGACAATTGCATTTATTATGAGGAGTGTTAAAATCACTGGAGCAGTGTAAAAACAGTAATTAAATGCTGAAATCAATTCATGATCCTGAATGCACCCTCACTGTAATCGTTGCTACTTAAAGCCAAGTAATGCAGATGAATCTTTTTGAGAGCACTGTATAATAAATGCTATCAGGAGATGTAAACCAGCAATCCCATCTAGTACCATTTCATCCAGACAAGATCAAACGAGGACAGCCAAGCCACAAAGCCACGCTGCTTATACTGGGCCGTTTGCCCTGAGATGACTTTGTCCACTGTTTTGTGTGAAGATGTACTGTAAGTTTTCTGTTTGTCCACTTGGGGTGTCACGATCCAAGGTTATCTGCCCCCTTTTTCTGATACGACTCATTCAATTCTATGTAATGATTCAGTGTCACAGTTTTTTCATAGATAAGGAAGCAAAACCAATATGCATTAGTAAAGCCAATGTTAGGCCTCAAATTACTTTAAAATGCTACAGCAAAATCACTTAATTTTTGGTATGTGCATAATATGATACTCTCTGAACTGATGTTTTTTGGACTACTTTTTTGAGATGACTGCAGGCAAAACAATGGTAACACTTTATTTGGAGTGGTCCTTTGTAGATGATTAATAAACCCTTAACAGAGTATTAGTAACAAATCAGCAACATATCAGTGAAAGTAGCAGTAATGAATGATCTGAATACACTGAAGTAAATATCTTGTAGATGTACTGTTGATACATTACTTACATTAAGTAGATGTACGGTTAATATGTCACTTCCATTACGCAAAACCTAACCTTACCAACCTTACTTAAAACCTAACCCTAACCCTGGCCCTAATCCTAACCCTCACCTTAACCTCAACCCAAACTCTAATCCTAATCCTCATATGTTTTTGACATGTTACTGAGAGTCTGTTGAGTGTTTGTTTCATCTACAAAGGACAACTCAAAGTGTCACCAAAACAATTAATTAAGTGGCTGTTTGGCTGCTTTTCCATTTTAAACTAGTTATACACTTAAACCTCTTTAATTTGACAAAATCACTGACATAAAGTTACATAAAGTGTCATTAATATAGCACAGTGGGATAAAATAGCCTTTATAGTCTTAGATTACAGTATTAAGTGAGAATTCCACAGATTTTTAAAAATGTCTGTATAATTATGTGTCATTAAGATGCAAACAAAGTCATTCAGAGTGGTTTGAGAAACTCACCGAATCAAAATTGTTCACAGTGGAAGTGAATGGAACCAGACATCCAAGCGTATAATATCTTTAATAGCTACCTCACAGAAAGTTATTACAAAAATGGTTATGAATACATTGGCTGGTGCATGAAACATTGTTTTAACAATAGATTCAAAATAAGGTTTTGGCCTAAGTGTTGGTAAAATTGTCCTTAGAAATAAAAAAAATCACTATTTTACCATTAACATTAGATATAAAATCTCAGACGTGTATGTTCACCAGTTGTTTTCAATAGCAAATAAATTTTATCAATATATATTTTTGTTGTATTACAGCTGAGGTTTATGTCACCACCACTGTAAAAGGAATCAGTTTCTCTACAATGAACCATTTCATATCAAACCACTCTGAATGACTTTGTTTACATCTCAACCACCAAGTTATATAGGAATTTTGATAAATTGGTGAAATTGCTCTTTAGGTAAGGACTAGAATTGGGCTGGGCTTTAAATACATTAGGCTCTGATATCAGTCTTTTGGATCAGTTTGGAACATCTCTACCTCTGGTCCAGTCAGCAGAGAGACTGTGGTGTGGCTCAGCGTCTCTCGTTTGTCTTGTCTCTTCCTCACTCTCATCCCGTGTCCTCCTTGTGATCCATATTGTTCATTTGTTTGTTCTCTCTCTCTCTCTCTCTCTCGTTCTTCTCTTCCCCATGTGTACCCAGGCAGCCCATTGAGTAGCTTCTTTGACGTAATTAAACAGCTCTTTTCAGACGAGAAGAACGGGCAGGTGCCCCACGCCGCGGGCACGCCCAAGCACGGTGCCAGCAGCAAGAAACACGAGTCCGACTCTAATACCTCCAAATGCCCGTCGGGCAAAGACAAAGCCAAGGTGGCACCATCAGTTGGGACACAGGAGCAACCTTAAGACCCAGGAGTGTTAGTAGATCACCAGATTTAAATATATAGTACAACGTAGATGAAGCTTTTGACTCGAGCTCTGGCTCAACTGTAAAAGACGCTCAAGAAACTTTTATACGCTGGAATGATTACTGCAGTAGAGTATTACACCAGTGCATTCTCTCCACCAGGCACAGACACACTCCTCCCTTCTTTAACCAGGTGTCTTATTGCTCTGCTATGGAAGCCTGTTCTCACCAGATAGAGGAGAAAAAAAATACCTTCATGTCATGTCTTTTTTTGTTTGTTTGTTTGTTTTTGTCTCCTGCTCAGTTCTGGCAGCATTGCCAAAACATGGACTTAGTATCTCAAAATAAGGACTTTTTCTTGAAATACTGACTTAGTACCTTGAAATAATGTGTTATCTTTTAAAAATATCGACATAGTATCTAGAAATAATGACCAATATTCTCGAAATATTGACTTAATATCTCAAAGTAACATTCTTAAAATATTGACCTAGTATTTCAAAATATTGAATTAGTATTTTGAAATAATGACTTTATTTTCTCAAAATGTTGACCTAGTATCTTGAAATAATGACTTGATGCTCATAAAATATTGACAATATCTCAAACTAATTACTAATTACTAATATTGTTGAAATATTTACTAAATATCCCAAAATAATTAATTATTTTCTCAAAATATTTATAAAACACCTCAATATAATTACTCATTTTGTCAAATTATTGAATTGCTATCTTGAAATCTTTATTGATGAGATACTGTCAACATAATGAGTTTAATAAAAAGTTATAATTATTGTAGGATAATAAGTGATTATTATGAGACATTAAGTAATTATTCTCAGATACTAAATAAATATATTAAAATATAAAAATATTGATTTAGTATCTGAGAATGATTACTTAATGTCTCATTAAGAATTGATGTAGTATTCCAATACATCAATATTTTGAGAAAATAATTCAGAATTTGGACATATTAAGTGGATATTTTAAGAAAATATGTCAATATTTTGACAAGATAAGTCTGTCTGTTTTCACGTGCTGCTGCCAGGAACAGAGAAGGAGAAATAACTGTAGGCTTTTTTTTCCTCTACCTGGCGGGAATGGTCTTCTGTACTCTGTTGCCTTTTTTTGCATTTCTTGTGCTTTTTCTCTTTTGCGTTTTCTGTTTTGGTGACGCCGTTTGCCCATTTCTGCTACCAGGGATTATCCAGAAAACGTGTTAGAGCCCATCCGCATCATGTACAGTATGTCGATGGAAGGCACATTACACAGCAAGTACAAGCTACGGACGGACGCTCCTCAACGCTGACGCACGCAAACTTCACCAAGACACGTTCAGCCTCCGCACCTCACTCCTGCTCGAAGACTCACGTCTGAAGAATTGAGAAAAAGCCTTAAGAAAAAGAACCACAACACTCATTCAGCCCTGCTCTGATCTACTTCCCCTTTATTTTCTCCCTTCTCCTCTTTCTGTTTGTGACCCTCCAAGTCTCTGTCTCTCTCTCTGTTTTCCCTCTTTTTGTTTTCTTCATATCCCAACAGTTCTGTTGACGGGAGGATGAGCTGTTGACATTTCAGACACGGTCAGGCGTTTGAGGAGCTGCCCACACGGACTCTTGTTGGATTGTATTCTTTTCAATGTAGTCTTTCTTTATGAATGACAGAATTTAAATATTTTATGGACTTTGTGTCATTGCTGTACAAGATTTTCAAATCTTATTTGAAAAAAAAAATATGGGGTAGCCTATTTTGGGGTGGTTCTGGGACGGGACTGTGGGGGTGGGTGATGTTTCAGATGTTTCAGCAAATGATCTATTCTGTACAGACTGTATATGTTCCTTACGTAAAACTCGTCTGTGACTCTGCTTGGGCTGATTGTGTTGCCAGTTTGTTTATTTTTCCCCATTTAGTGATGAAATCTTTTGTTTTCTTTCACCTTTGAGTGAAATTATGCTTAATGTATTCTTTTGATGTCAGTTTTTTTTTAATCTTTTTTTTCCCCTTTCTTTTGGAAAAGCATCTGCAGGATTCAGAGACCTTTGGCCACAGTTGTGTATAATTTTATAACTTATTTATCATCCTATTTTATTTGTTCTCGTCTGTATTATTATAATTATTTTTTGTTGTTTAATTGTTTAATTTATTCAGCTGGGACTATTTATAAACCAAAATCGGGTAGTTTAGTGTTTGTATCGGAGCTACTTGTCAGATTGTTTTTGAAGAATTTCGTCATTTGTGTTCGTTAAGAACTCATCCGATCTTTTTTCGTGAATGAAGCACTCTTTTCTTTTCCCGGCTTTGACCAGAAAAAGAGCTTGTAGTATATGTTAAATTATTTACCAGTAATTTAAGAATGTAGACTAGCCTCTTTACGGGGGGAGGGGGAGGGTGGGGTTATACGAAGTTATGAACTATTGATATTCGTCACTTTTCATCTCATAGTGCGTGTACAACAGGTCCACACATTCGAACCACATGATGTAAATAGACGACTTTTTTGGCAATGAGTTTCTTAAAGGCACCGAGGGGATGCTCCTGCTCCTAGCTGTGTTCTCGTATTTGCCGTTTGCATGTCCGACATTCGGCTTTTCTTTGCATGATGTTGTTGTAGATGTTCGATTTTGCCCTCTCCTGCACCTTTTCCCCCTCTTTTTCAGGACGATCGACTTGTTTTCTCCCTCTCACCTTTTACGTTTCTCTTCTCATCCCTTTCTTTGTTTGTCTTTTTTTTATTCGTACACTTTTTTGTTGTTTTTTTGACTCTCTTCCCCCCTCATTGCTTTCTTCAGTATTCTGTACTGCTCTCTCTGAGAGGGGTCCGATGATGTCGTAACCCAGGTGGATATCCATGGCCCGGGGGGGTGGGCGGGGGGATTCTGCTGAAGAGAAATAAACTAAGCAATACCTATTCTTATTCCTTCCTATTTTGTACTTCGGGAGAGAAGAGAAGCTGCTTTGTTGTGAACTACAGATTGGTTAATACTGAGCAGGAAAAAAAAAAAAAATCAAAACCACAGCTAATGTATCCCCTTGTAACTACTGTGAACAACTTCAGTGCAAACAGAAATAAATCCATTGGATTCTTTGGATACGTCTCATACAATGAAATGTAAATACAATACTTCACATTTATTGCTTGATTGCTTGATTTCTTGTAAATACACCAGAGGTTTACAGTGAGATCAATCAAGAGCCCTAGCAGTACAGAGGAATATAATATTTCAAATAATTTAGGTCTTTTAAAATGGTCCCAATGTACCACGTACCACTTATTACATCAGTAACATATTTACATGTTAAAATGGAAGCACTTATAAACGTGGACAAAACTATGTACAAATTATTAGTATTAAAAAACATTTTTCACAATTACTTTCATTCACATTACTGCACTGTCTTTCTTTCTAACAGGCGTCAACATCCCATTTTATCCGCTAGAGGGCACTATTACTGCAGCACATATCACTGTGTGACCTATCACTGTATGTATAGTCATATGTAAAAGTCTGGGCGCCCCTGAATAAATTACATTTGGTTAATTTTCTGTGTGATAATATGTTAACACATCCTCAACAGGCAAACAAATATTAGCATTTCTGCTAACTGTAGTACACAGTTTATATTTATTTGCTGAGTTTACCGAGGATAAACAAAATGTGCCATAACTTTTGCACAGGCAAAATTCTATGCTTAATTTAAGTAAATAAACGGCAACTGCATTGAAGTGTGCAGAAGTGTGTTCTCTGTTCACTTCTTTTCACTTATATAAATCAACAAAACGTCATTGGATCAGGGGTGCCCAAACTTTTGCACACGACTATATGTTTATAATGCATTCTTTACCAAACTCATTTCTCCCTACTTCCTTTCCTGCGCTCATCAGTCCGTATTTGAATGCATTTGCCGAACGGGAACTTGCCGCATCTCGCTAATGAGTGCACAACATCTCCCGACATCTACAGAAGAACGTGGCTGTGTTCTAAATGCACTGCCTTATACATATTCAGCACTGGCTCGTTCTGTAAGTAATGAGATATCAGCCTAATTGCTCTGTCTGTCCTGTCAAGGCACATCTCCACTACCGCTTGGGCCAAGTTTTCCACTTCAATAGGTTTTCCATGCGGGCACAATTAGCACGTTTCTGCCCTGCCATCACACCATGAACGAGCTGCCAAGATATCGCAGCCTGGAGGCCAGTGTTGCCTGCAGGGCCTCCAGAGTGTCCGGCTCCTGGTCTGGACCGCACTCGGACCCCAGCAGCAGCTCCTCAAACTCTCTCCGCTGCAGCATCTGGGGCATGTTCTGCAAGAAGAAGCCTTCGCAGAATTCAGCCAGCTCTGCCGCACAGCTCGCCTGTTGGCCAAACACAGCAGAAACAGAGGACTCAGAGCACTGGGCTGAGACAGTGGACTACTAGTTTATACAAAGCGTTTCTATTGTGACTGTTCTAATAGAGCTCTGGGGCTGTGCATCATTTTGCAGTGGCCAAATAAGGAGCACTAGGTCTAAGCAGGTTTTGTTCCTGAGAAAAATTAGTGATGTTTTTGAAAACTGCTCAAAAAAATGCTCCAAAGCTGATACGTTTTGTCCCATGTATGTTTTCCCATCGTGTTACAGGATTATGAGGTTGTTTAGTAGTCAGAATGAATGCTACACACAAGCTACAAGCAAGCTTACACTTCAGTACATTGATTTCACATGAAAATAAGTCTATTGTTAAACTTCAACACTATTATGTAACACCAGCTCAAACTGCAGGTACTAAAGCTTGCTGTTTTGCATATTGTATATTGGTGAGGTTGCCAGTGTTATGATGTCAGTTCAGTGTGTAGCAGTGTTTGCTCACATTTAGCAATATTCATGTTACAACTACTTAATAACCTTTTAATTCAGAGGATCCAGTGACATTCGTTGGGAAAATGTACACAGTATAAAATGTCACAGCTTTGCAATATTTTTGTTGACCACAGCTTGTGCTTATGCCAATTTTCAAAAATGATAGACAAAAATTCAGACTTGGACTTCCTTATTTGGGCCTGTTGCTGACTTCAATATAACAACACGTCCTTGGTGGTCTACAGAGTGTTGCTTTAATTTTGCATCAGCTGGTCTTTAAAGGGGAATTTCTGCATAATTCAATGCTGAGATGTAAACAAAGTCAATATGTAAACAAGTAGTCGCTTGATGTGAGTTTATTTGTAGAGAACTTTACTCTGATTTCTTTACAGTGGTGATAATAGGAACCAGACATCATCATGTCTTTAATAAAAGCAGATCCGCAAAATACGTTTTCATTGCATCACAGCACCCTGCACGCATCTCTCCACCATGAATGGATTTTAAAAATATATATTTTAATCCAAAACCTTATTGCAAAACTGTGGTGAAACAATGTTTCCCGCATTAGGCAGTGCATTTGTACCCGATTTGTATCAAGTATTGAGCATTTCATACCAAACCACTGTGAATGGTTGTTTGTTTACATCTTAACAATTTAATTATGCGGTAATTTTTTAAAAATTGGTGGAATTGCCCTTCAATACCACATACCTACTTTACATATAGAGAAGTTACTGTTCTATCATTTGTTTTTATTAAAATATTAAGCAAATTTTTCAGAATTTTATTAATTGTAATTTAATACATTAATCATTAGCTATATGTAGCTGGCACAAGAACCATGTTGTGGGCACCAAAATGCCCACATGCCGGTACTTGTGGACCACCGAGCTCTCAAGTGTGCTCACCTTGGCTGTGTGGTAGATGAGGACAGCGTTGCGGGGGGTCATCCTCTCTGCACAGTGGACTTCACAGTGCCTCTTAAGGGTGCTGAGCTGGAAGGAGTGAGACACGGGCAGGAGCTGAAAATGAAACACAGTTCAGGTTCTGCTTCATTTACTGGACCCCTTTCAACACAGATTAAGTGTATTGAAACAAAAAACACTGAAAATGCTGTTTTTGTCAAGGACAAAGCTTTTCTGTCCTGGAAACCATTCAAGGCAGTAACAGATGACGCCTTTGGATGCATGTTGTGTTGATTCTCTTACCTCTAACATATCTGAGAGAGACGCTTCTGAATTCCCAGCTACTCCACCGTACAGATGAGCCATCAGCATCTGAGAGAACAGACAGTTTTATGTTTCTGTACAGACACAGTTTTACTGCAATATTCTAAACAATAATATAGCATGATACAGTTTGGTCATATTTAGTTTTCATTTTTGTGTGTGCTGTGCTTGAAGCACAATCACCTGGAAAGTGCTGTGCTTGATGTCAGTGAGCTCAATGATATTATGGTCCGCTGTGCCATTGGATCTGCAAACGCTGAGCAGCTCTTTGAACCTTGGGATGGAATTAAGGGGAACACAGACAATTCAGCGTCTATAATCACATTATCATTGAGGAGGGTATTAACCAGTTATATTTACTGAGTTCTATGTACAATTTGGATTAGTGATGCACTGAAAACAAAAACCGAGCTTTATTTATGATTTTGAAGGGACATACTAAACATAAAAGTAAACACATTTATTATTGATAAAATCTGCTTTCAGTAGGACAAATCTGAGCTGACAATAAATAAAAAACAGTATAAAAAAGTGCAAAAAAGTACTGTATGTGCCATGAAATCCAATGCCCTTGACATCAGAGATCAGCTGGTCATTCAAGGCAATGAATTCTGTTATTTTTTGTTATATTTTGCACTTTGGCTGTTGTTTGTGAATTTTTCATCATTTATAAACAGAGGCTAAGGATGGCGTCAGTGTGGACTTTCTGATTCTGTTCTGCTGTATTCTGGACGCCGAGCGGGATGATGTATTTTCAATTAGAATCAAACCTGTAGTGGAGAAGTTCTTGGGTGCTGCAATGATATTTGGCATAAAAATTACAAATTGCTTATCTGATGTTCTTCATAGAAATCCTGAAACAGTAAACACTGCTGACATTTTTTTCACTGCTCAGACTGTTTGAATGTATCTGTGCTGACCACCACAGGAAAGTAAACAAACAGCGTTTTATTCACTATTTCTCTTGTCCATTACCATTAAAATCAAGTGTCGTTTTTAAGTATTAAGTGCTGAATTCTGACACATTGTTGTGGATTAATCTATTGCTTAAATCTTTTTTGTCATGCCTTTTTCTCTTTTGTCCAGAAACCAAAATGTTCCAGTGACTGAAATTTCAGTGCATTCCTAATTTTAACGGATGTGTACTTTCATGAGTAGACCTATTTTCAAATGATAAAACTTTTACTTCCACTTAAGTATATGTGTGAGGGAAGCCGTCTACTTTTTTCTCTGTTACATTTTAGTTGCATTTAGCTAATAATTCCCTTTTTATTCTTTATTTCATTACGTTACGCTGTGCTTCTTTATGAGCGGTCATGTCTCTGACTCTGGAGCTTTAGCGTTTTAACCCTGAGATGAAGGACATCAAAAAATAGAAGAATTGCACGTAACAAACTTCAGTTCCTGTGCTGATGGATGCTGGATACACTGAGAAGTTACTCAGTACTGAAGGAGTTTGTTTGACACTTTTGTACTTCTACTTAAGTTCTTTGGAAAGTTACTGTTACTTTTACTTGAGTTACTGTTTTAGTAAAGTAACAGTACTTTTACTTGAGTACAGGGTTAGGCTGCTCTACTCTCTTGTGCAGGTTATAAAACTGAGCTTCTTCTGGTCGCTCACCTCTGAGACGCAGACATGAGAAGCACTTTGTGGGCGTAGAATGGCTGGCCTTGCACCAGGAACGTCACATCAGACATCTCAGAGTTATTCAGGAAATGAGCATCTGTTGAGCAGAACAACACATGCATTTATAATACATGAATGCATTTCAGCTAAAGGCCAGGAACTCTACTGGTCAAAAGTTTGGGGACACGATGCCTTCTTTTAGAATATTCTGAATGCTGTTTATTATTATTATTATTATTATTATTATTTATTTTTTTTCTTCCACAGCAGGGACAGAGAAGTATAAACAAGTCAAAGACATAAATAACGCTTATCAGTGATTACTACAGTAGGCTGACAGCACAATAACAAAAGGCATAAAAACAGGTATTACATAATATAGGCCAGCTAGAAATTATCATTCAAAAATCATAATCCTCTTGAGAAGACTAGAATGGAATCATATAAATCCTTCCTCTTTGCGACTCTGCTTGGGATGTAACTATATTTTGTAAGATGGATATCCAGAACTTTGTAATGTTTATAATACTGTACTGATAGTAATCAGAGTTGTGTGATGCTGGTCGTGGTGTCTCAGAACGATTCCTTTTGCCAGACAAATAGGTACAATTCTGGAAGTTTGAACAGGACTTCAGTTTAATCCTGAAGCCAGTTTTAAACCATAGTGCTGCAGCTCCAACTGCAAAGCTGGCAGATTTTATTAGCTCACATTTCTGTGTTTTATTACAGTGGATAAGGTGCAGATGTTTTTACTGATCGTCAGATCAGCATAAACATGTTTCCTCACGTAACTGATCAAATTAAGTTTATTCAAACAACATCTGAGCATGGTTACTAGCTGAATGAGGTAAAACAAGGTCATTTGCTCTGTCCGTCAACAGCCCAGCCAAGCTATTGGCTGTAACACCTATATTTAATGGCATTAATCCTATATTTGTGACAAAATTCTAAATCTTTAAGCCCAGAGGTGGTTTAAACACCTAAAATTTCTAAGTACTGAGTGCTGAAATCATAACGAGTGTATCCAATGTGTAGTGTTTTGTTAGTTGCTGTTTCAGGTGTGCAGTTTTGGCAAAAATCGAAACAGCTTCCTACTTAATATTTTATTTATTTATTTTATTAATAGTTTATTTAATTTATTTTAAGTCATTGCAAATCAACAAAGTAAACATGCTCATGTATTAAAAACATTTTGGAAAGCGAAGAGTTCCTTTTAATGGCCAGTGTATATGACTGCACTGAATAGAGAATAGAGACAGAATAGGCTTGACCTTGCAGATAAACTGGACAGGGTGGATAAAGTGATGTGCATTACCCAGTTGAGCAGCAGGTGTGTTCCTCACTGCAGGAATAGGAGGCAACACAGCAGAGCCAAAGCAGTGGCTCCAAACAACTCCCAGCCATTCACGGATCTCCTTATTCTAGTGGAACATGGACACACTTATCACTGATCTACATTACAGAATTCATCATCATCTACACGGATTAAGCCTAATAAAGGATCTGCTATGCTGAATTACTACTAACAGTGTGGTTTAGTCTGGAACTGGGCTTAACCAGGGCCTATAACTGTTTCCTGAGGGCTGTGGTTATGTTCTTTACCTTGGTGGTTCTAAAGATGGAGAAAAGCAGTGGCAGGCCATCTGAGATGAGCTCCTCGCAGTATTTCTCCTGCCACATGGAGGTGAAGTCTCTCAGCAGTGAAAGAGTGACCTCGGTCCTGGACTGTAGCTGAGCAATGCGCACGGACTCCAGCCACACATGCAGCCTCCACGGCACACCTGAAACAGACACAAACAAATGCAGCACAAGTTCAGCTCTGCTCAGATATAGAAGAATGTTAAAATAAATAAATAAATAAATAAATAAATAATCAAAGCCTTTAATCAGTATCTGATTGTTGAGTAGCTTTGGCTGATATTAATCAATGTTCAACAAAGTATTTGCTTGTTTTTACTGTCTTTATTCCACTACTGTGTAAATATAATGTATATTCAGTGTATTATATATACTTTGTTGATTTGCAATGACTTAAAATAAATTAAATAAATTAAATAAACTTAATAAACTTAAAAATTAAGTGGAAAGCTGTTTTGATCTTGCCACTTTTCTTAGCAAAAACTACACACCTGAAACAGCAACTAACAAAACACTACACATTGGATACGCTTGTTATGATTTCAGCTCTCAGTACTTAGAAATTTTAGGTGTTTAAACCACCTCTGGGCTTAAAGATTTAGAATTTTGTCACAAATGTAGGATTAATGCCATTATATATAGGTGTTACAGCCAACAGCTTGGCTGGGCTGTAGTGACGGACAGAGCAAATGACCTTGTTTACCTCATTCAGCTAGTAACTATGCTCAGATGTTGTTTGAATAAACTTCATTTCATCAGTTACGTGAGGGAACACGTTTATACTGATCTGACAATCAGTAAAGACATCTGCACCTTATCCACTGTAATAAAACACAGAAATGTGAGCTAATAAAATATATATATATATATATATATATATATATATATATATATATATATATATATATATATATATATATATATATATATATATATATATCTGCCCTGTGATGGACTGGCGACCTGTCCAGGGTGTATCCTGCCTTCCGCCCAATGACAGCTGGTATAGGCTCCAGCACCCCACCGCGACCCAGAAGGATAAGCGGTTTAGATGATGTATGTATGTATGTATATATATAGACAGGGTGATTCAAAAAGATTCATCCTACTTCAAAGCGCCATATTTTTACAACCGTGAGGCACTTAGGAACCAATCACATACCAGTTGAAAGTGGGGGTCACAGAGTACAGCTCAGAGCATTCGTCATTGGTACCAACAATTCCAAGAAAAAGGTCACCAGCATCACCAGTTCTCATGCTGTGTGACTTTTTCTGTGGGGGTATGTTAAGGATTCTGTTTATGTGCCACCACTCCCAACAACACTGGATGATCTCCGAAATTGCATTGAAAGAACCGTGAGTACAGTGTCACCCGACATGCCCAATCGAGTATGGGATGAATTTGAATATTGAGTTGATGTTGTCCGTACAGCTGGAGGAGGTTCATATTAAGCACTTACAAAATTACACAATAAACTTTATGCTCAATTAAACAATTTGTAATTTACTGCATTGTTCTGTAAAGATTTACAAATAAAATAAATCATTTTGAAATCAGATGAAACTTTCTGAATCACCCTGTATATAAAGCTCTGAGTCAAACTAAAATAATCAGTAATAATTATTATAATTTCGTTATTGTGAGGGCAGATTTTTACACCCCTGACCAAGCCATACCGAGTGCTCGGAGCTCCATGGTCACATCCAGGTAGCCATGTTCAGCACTGTGCAGGCTGGCCTCCTGTAGGGCTCGGCTTTGGGCCTTGGACATGTATGGGACGCCGCCGTTGCTGGAGGAGGAGTGAGAGCGGAGCGAATCCTTAACCTCCTCCCTCGGCTTCCCCTCCACCCCCTCCGCCAGGATCTCCTCCAGAGACAGCACATCCTCCTGCAGCCTGTGGGGCTGGCTCAGTAACTTCCTCAACACATTCCTACAGGACAGAACAGCACTTTTGAGATATGCAGTCATGGACTCAACTACATGAATAACGGTCTTTATTCAAACAGCACTTCATATTTAGTTACAGTCCTGAGCAAAAGTCAGAGACAACAGTACTTAAAGCTTTCTTCTTTGAGAGAGAGGAGAAAATCAAGCTGCTTCAGATCTGGAAAAATCCACAGGTGTTTCTGTCCATCCTTCCACTGTGAGGAGGGAACTCAACACTATGGGTCTGAAAGGATGTGTAGCTGTTAGGAAGCCAGTACTAATATAACACTTGTTAATCAGACAAAGAATCTGCGGGTGTTCTCAGAACGATGGACTGACCACCTTAACACTGACGTTGGGACCACTTGGATCGTGAGAAGCAGGAAGTGCAACCAACAAGTCTTCTAAAAAAGGGTGGACACGTTCAATAAAAGAAATTGATATTATATTTAGTTGTTAAGACTTCTGTTAAATATTTGTTTTCTGCCTTTTTCCTTGACATTGAAAAATTAATAACTTGTACTTAGTGGTGATTTTGACTGGCAATTAAATAAATAAGGGGTGTTCTCTGACTTTCGCACAGTACTGTACAGAAGCTCAAAGGGGAAGGTAAGCAAAACATTGGAAAAGTGAAACAGTGAAGTTTGAGTGAAAATGAAAAATGAACAAAATTAATGAAACAGCATAAATACAAAAAACTACTGATTATAAAGTTGAAGACACCCAAATAAACTAGGTATATACTAACTTAAACAAATGTCTAATGCGGTTTAAAAAAACAAACACCCTGTGAATGAATCTGTAAATGGGGTGCCTCCACTGAGACAAGTCTTTTATAGTTCCAAGACTATGCATAGTAAGGCACTGTGACTATATGCATTTTACTACACTCATCTATTCTTCACTTCCATTCACTGACCTCTTGATGGGGTCCACCTACTGCACCTTACAGGTCTACTGCATAGACATACAATTAAATACCACTGTCAATCTGTTGACTTGCACTATTTGTTAGCAGTGATGTGGTTGTTTATGTGGTGCAGGTACAAATGCACCAGGCTCATGTCCTGTTACTCTACCTGTGTCCATGTGCTGCAGCGTGACTGAAACAGTTCATATCCTCATACAGTGATGATGTCAGTGTGCTCCCACTATGCACGCGAAACATGGGGTCAGCACCACGGGACAGCAGCAAACTGACCATCTCATAGTTTCCTAAACACACAAACACATTTCACTCAGACTTCATACATAAATTCATAAACCATTTACTCTATATAAGCTATATTTAAGCAGTAGAACATGAAAGGTAGTGTGTTTTCATGAATAATATCACAGGCTATGTTCTATTTGCTTTTAAGAGTTCTGCAAAATAAAGAAAATCCTCAAACATTGTATCAAATGTGCTTTAATACTGACAATTCCTTCTACCAAAGAAATGGTAGCTTTTAGCATTACTGATAAAGCTGTGACATCATCAGGTTCAGCTTAACTATATTAAACTGAAGACTGTTTTGTCCCAGACAGTCTGTAAAGCATTAAACAGTGCGCCTCGTTTGCCAAATTCTATTCTGTTCATTTCTGGCAATTCCAGTTTAGTTGTTCCACCATCAAAGCTGCCAACAGATATGCTTGCTCAGAACGACAGGTTCAGAAATGACCAAATGGGCTGCAGGTCAAATGTAGTCTTACAGAAGTCATCTGGTGTGTCCCTTTTCTGTGCTAAAGGAGACGCTTAGTAAAGGTCAGATGCAGCATAAAGCAAATCATAACTTGGCATCAAGTGCTCAGCAGAATGATAGTGACGTTATCTAAAAAACAACACAGGTAGAACGCTTCTCAACCAATCAAAGTTTCATCTGAAATAACCAATTAATAAAAAAAACAATAAACTACAGGATACCATACAGTCATTTCACCATTGTTAGGGGATGTTGTTAATTGATTAGCAGGAGGCTATGGTTGTCAGTCAACATAATGGTCAGAGTTTTCCACTGACAGCACAATGGACTTTAATAACCCATATCAACATCCATATATGTGCATATATGAAATATTTAACAATAACTTCCAAAGTGGCTCAAGAAATCAGATTTTAGTAACGGTTTGTGGTTCATCTCTGTGTAATGTTCACCTGCAGCAGATGCCTGTTGGAGGGGGGTTTCTGCTGAACCTTGGTGTCCAGTCCTAAGGGCACGGCCCTCCACGTCTGCTCCCATGTCCAGCAGCAGCTGAAATTACACAACTCTTATTTAACAATTTAACAACAGGATATTCCTCAGAACACCTGGCTGTCTGTAACAAAAAAAAAAACAAAAACAAAGAAACAACAAAAAAAAATTTATTTTTCTGCATCATTTGAATGCAGTAGCTGTCCTTTATAATGTGTAAAATCCTATGATGAATGGATCAACAGAAATCCTTCATAATTACTTGGAATATTTTTTTTTCTTTTAACAATAATTTGCATTAAAAGTTTAAAATGTTGTACAGGTAATAATTTGGAGATACTTGCTTTTTGACAGTGATGATATGCACCCTATTATCTCTTCACTAAAAAAATCGTATACGTATTGTGCATCGTATGTAGTGTATAAGGATTTACACCTGTGCCACGGAAATATGTCCATACAGCACAGCGAAAGTGAGCGCCACCCAGTGGCGACTGTCAGGGTGAACAGAGGGGTGCTTTGAAGAGCAGCTGGGCACCTGCAGTAAGGAGCAAGAAGAACAAACACAAACTCTTCAGTTAAAAACCCATTTGATTTCTGTAAGGAACATGTCAAGGTATTTGCTACAAATGGACTGTCATGTAATGGAGTGATGTGTGTACAGAATAATTCCCAGTCCTTACAGCTAAATCCAGGTTGGCCCCTGCATGAATGAGCATGTGCACCAGCGCTTCATCCCCAGCAGAGCAGGCATACATCAAAGGGGTCATGCCCTAAATCCCCATAGAGAAACACAAAAGACGTTACATATATTCATACCACACTGTGGCCAAGTGACCCTTAAAAAGAGCCAGAGCTCTGCCCTTTGGCTCAGTTCAAACGGCAGACTGACCATCTTCTTCAGTGTCAGATACTGTGCTGTTATATTATGCAAAGTCGTGGACCTGGATTTAAGAGGGCATTTAGATAAGATAAGGAGGCATTTGGATTTAGAAAGTTAAGAGAAGAGCTAGCAGGAATGGCTCTGACCTGGTCATCCATGGTGTTGACTCCATCTGGACCCAGCAGTTGGATAGCCTGACCAATCAGATCTGTGCGTCCACAGTTAAGCATTCGAAAGCCCAGATCCAGATTGAACTTGTCTGTCGCAGCTTTCGAGTCCAAGCGCTTAAAAGAGCTGAAACAGCACTCTGGCCTGAGAAAGAGGTAGAAAGTTGGAGGGAGGGAGGGAGAGAGAGGGAGGGAGAGAGAGAGGGAGAGAGAGAGAGAGAGGGAGAGAGAGAGAGAGAGAGAGAGAGAGAGAGAGAGAGAGAGAGAAAGAAAGAAAGAAAGAAAGAAAGAAGAGAGAGAGAGAGAGAGAGAGAGCAATAAGAATGTTTTGAAATGGCATATGCAGATATTTCCTGAGCTGTAGGCTGGAACGACAGTCACTGTCATTGCAAAAAGGTTAAAAAATAAGCCAAAAAGAAGGTGCTTTAATGGTTCTTTAGTAAAGAAAATGGTTCTATATAGAACCATGAACACTCAAAGAACCTTTTGTATGATTAAAGAGTTCTTTGCGAATAATATATCGATTATTGAAACGAATAATCAATTATTCGGATTAATTACCAAATAACTCTTATGTATCCATTAGCTTTTAAATTTAGCTTGAGGTTGTTTTATGCATTTGCTAACTAATAATCAAGACAATAAAGATAATAAATAAAAGATAAATAAAGATAAATAAATAAATAAATAAATAAAGACTATTTAAGAATTCACTATTTTGATGAACGTTCATGCATGTTATGTTCATTTTGAACGCACTGGTGACCTCGACGTTAAGACAACGATGCAGTGTTTAAAACTGTACATGTTATTTGAAAGTGAACAGAGTCATTGTGTATAATAGTTACTTGCTTCTCCGTTCCAACTCATTAACGATTCCAGAGAACCGCATTTCTACAGATGATATTACAGCTCAGCTCATAACATGAAGTAGGACAGCTTTTAACATTAACATTAGCTAACTAGCTCACTAGCACAGCTATATTACCGAGATGAATCATCTTCATCCAGTGAGCCGACATGTTTCCTCTTCTGACGCTCCAACAAACAGCACAGCTAACAACCTTTTTTTTGGAGTTAAGTGTGAAATGCTCCCACACTTTTCGTTCTTGAGGCTGCCATCACGCTTTTGTTAACTCTCCAGTAAGCGGTAATGTCAAAACATTTCTAGTTAGAGTGAGAAACGCACGTGATGATGTCACCAACTTATCGACTATTAATTTAGTTGCCAACTAATTTGGTTGTCGATTTTAGTCGACTAAGTCGAATAATCGTTGCACCCCTAATTAAGACAAAATCCAGTTTGCTTCTGGTTTTGCTAATCATACACATTTCTCACAACACATCCCATTAACATTACTGATGAAAAAATGCATGGTTCAACTGAGTGACCTCCTCCAAAACAGGCAGAAATTGCATTTGCATTTTGCGGCTACTGTGAAAATGGGTTAAATGGGGTTAAATGGGGTAACAAGATTTTATCCTAGGTCATTCTGGACAAATTTTATTGGTCCATTTATCACACATTGCTGACACTAGTGATAAAAAGAGCTATACCATTTTAATCAGACAGTGGTGATGGAAATATCAGCTTTTCTTACTTCAGCTGTCTTGGTTCACAGTCCAGTCCGGGCAGTAGAAGTCTGGCCGTCTGCCTCACATCATCACTGTCCACAAACAGACTGCGTCGATGCTCAGCGTGAACCATCGCGACCCGCATCCACTCCATCAGAGGGGGCAGTAAGGGGAAGGGCCTGCAGGGGAGAACAAATTCCTCTCTTATTTACCACTCTGCCTCCTTCACTGGGCAACTTCTGCTCTGCCTCTGGGTTACAACGTAATGATGCAACAATGCATTGTTTTCTACACACCTGTACACACACTGTCTGGCAGAGCTCTGCAAGGGTCAACAGCGGAAAGTGATGTAATTATACTGGCTGCTAGAAGGGAGCCTAACCACCTGCTGACCATTCACTCCAGCAATGTTAGTAATGTCCTGTTTGATCCTTAGAAGCTGTTGTTTTGCTATACTATTCAAACGTAGTTGTGTATATATATATATATATATATATTTTATTACATAGTGACTTACACTAGATGTAGATTCTATAGGCAAGTTTGTTGTTGCACTTATTTTGATTGTTTTGATTTCAACAAATGGAGCAAAAGGATGTTTTTTTCCCCCCTACAAAACAAGCCTGTACACTAGAGCTTGAAGTTTGTCTGGACCCGATGGCTCAAGTCAGGTTCAGGGGTCATTTTCCAAATATGAGTGGGGCTTGGGCCAGGTTCAAATTTCATGTTGGGTACTCACAGCCCGCCTCCCGTTGGTTCTTCACCTCTTCATTCTTCCCTACTTTCTCCCTATGTTCATTATCATAACATTTTTAATCTGGCATGCTAGAGTAGCCCACTTTTTGTTAACAGAGGCACTGAAACTCATGATCCCCACGCTTTTGTGATAATGGATGCATAGGAAATAAAACAGCATCAGTTCATGAAAGTAGACTGTAAAAATGCATTTACAGCAGAAATCCTTCATTAATCTACTCTATTTCTTAAAAAAAGCAGATTGCCATGAAAAAAGAATGCATTAAAGTAATTAGGCATTATTCGCAAAGCATATTGAGGAAGTGACTGTTACTTTCTACTGGCTGTCTATGAGTTTTGTAATGAAGAGGGTAGAGCTTGCCAGCATTCAACATTTTGGTAATTAACATGCATCTCTTTATCTATACTACTGTGCAAAAAATATAATGGTTTTTACTGACAGCTTTGAGTCCAAACTTAAACCCTATAGAGTATATTTGGTCTCTAGTATTTGGTAGCTTGGTGATGTTTTTCAACTGTTTGAAGGCATCAGTTTGAAGCTATAAAAGGCAGTCTGCACGTTTATCCACAAAACTTCAACATTCACAGAAATCAGAGAGAAAAGTTACTTTATCTATTTGTTTAATGATTTGTTGCTAAGACAATTAAAACCATTTATGCTCTGCTATTTTGGGCTTGGTGCATTTTTGCGTGGATGTGTGCTGTTCATTTCATTAGTTTTTTTGATGTTATTCTTACCTCTAAGACACGTTTAAATGCATTTTACAAGTTTTTTATCGTAACCATGTTAGTGTTTTGTGTTTCATTTAAAGTGAGTTCATCCCAATGTAAAACACTGAAACAGACATTACTGTCAGCTTTGTGATCCTAAAGAGTGGAAATTCTTTGTAACCGCTCTAATGTCTTGTGAATAAGGTGTGTTTCGTAAACAGTTTAATGCTCTTATAATTAATAGTCATACTGTTGGCATTAAATAGTTGAAATGGAAGAATATTTAATATTTCTCTGAAACTATAGTAGAGAAACTGCTCATGTTAAACTTTAAAAATGTTTAAAAAGCACTGATTCATCAATACATTTCTTAAAGAGAATTTGAGCTTCATTTTGGACAGGTGATTGTCATAGTATCGTTTAGACTATATTTGATTTTAATTATCCATGATCTAATGATGGCTATTATAGATGTGGTGGTTGGTATGGTGTAGTGGGTAACATCTCTGCCTTCTATGCTGTAGACTGGGGTTCAATCACCCTGTACTATACCAATAGGAGTCCTTGGGCAAGACTCCTAACACTACCTTCACCTACCTGTGTAAAATGGATAAGAGTGTCTGCCAAATGCCATAAAGGTAAATATGTATATTCTTTGTGGGTGACGTGAGTAAGTGGCGCTATCTTATCAGGTTTTACTCAGCACTTTGGGTGATGACGGACTCTTCTGAATCAGTTTCAGACAATATTTTGTTGAACTCAGGTCAGTTTTGGACTCAAAACCCGATGACATGGGTCAAGCCTGATGCTCACCAAATTTTGTCAAGCTCTGTTCCACTGTAGGCACAATGATAACTTTTCATCAAATTCAAAGCAAAATAAAAGATCTCCTCTTATACTTTAAATGTGGATTTAAAGTTTAGTATCTGCACTTACAGCAGCACTTCGCTCATGTCAATTATGAGTGAGAAGTAACTGTGACTTCTAAGAGTTAAACAAGTCTAATGCATCTGGCAGAGACAGCCGCGTAAATAGAGCACAGGATCTGCTCAATAACTTGTGACATCAGCCAAACACTCGGCCTCAAAGGGACCCGGAGCAATGTGCTGATTTTACATTTTATGAAAGGTCTCTGGTTTCCTTCCTCCCAAAGCCAGCCAGGAAAGTAGCTACTGTCTGTACTGTACTATATGAAACTCTATGATTACACCTGTTAAAGCCATTGGTATTCACAACTGAGGATAAATGCAGAAATTTCCACATGCGCATTCCATGAGGGAAAAAAAATGCCAATACAAGTACAATATCCTCACAGGATTCCCAATGAAAAAGAAGCTCTATTGTGTGTACTTTATATATATATATTTCACAAAAATAAGGCAAATATGGCTTTTGCAGATATAAACCCATAAAAAGAAAGGGCTCGCAAAAAAAGTGTCCCTAAGCAAACCCTTTGGAGTTAGAGACGGGATTAAAACGCTCCATTTCACCTTATAAATGATGCAGCTGCACAAAACGTTTATACGACCAGCACACTCAGCAGTTGCAGTTGCGGTAAGTTGACCAAATGATGGGTTAAATCACTCAACAGGTCACATCCTGACCTGTAACCCACCTTTCTTTGCTGAGGGCCATCCTGGGGGGCTCCAGGTTTGGGTTCTCTAAGGACTCCATTTGTGGACTGCGGAGGAAGTAGTACAGGGTGTGGAGGGCATCAGCAGACCAGGAGAGGGGCTGTGTGTGGCCGGGACGTCCAGGACTGAGACAGCGCCCCCCGGAGATCAGGCGCTGCATATGGTGCATTGCACGGGACACCAGGTCACCTGAGGAGGAGCAAATATTTAGAAAAGAGTGGAAAATATGGAACACATTGCAGTGATAAATATTTTATATGTTGATAACAATAAAAATGATGACAGTTACGAGAAAACGAGAAATAACTGTTGCGGCAATCAGACAGACACTACATGATCATAATGCAATCAAGAAGTGTTGACATAAGTGTAAGAATTAGTAACATGAAAAGGTTTCAATGCAAAGGTGTAGATGATTGTCTCATAGCATTGCTAGCGCTCATGATATGAATGCACTTGCTAGCTTCTGTCTGGGCTTTCCTGGCCATACACCTTCTCCTAAAGCAGGGGTCAGCAACACACTGCTCTTTTACTGCCCTGTTGCATCTCCCCTGCAGAAATTGATTTTTAGGTTAGAATAAAATAATCATCTGTAACAGTAAAATAAAGCTGTTCTGATCATTCTAACACAGTTTGAGCAATAAACGGTCTTAAACGCTGGAGTTGATGTAGAACTGTTAATTCACTCTTTAACACTGAAGGTTGGCGCGCAGACTGCTGGTCACCATAGCAATGCAGAAAAGTTTCGCCTAGCTACTAGCTAACGAAAAGGCAAACAGAAAGATTCAAGACAAACATTGATAATTTGGCAACAAATAGACTTATTTGCATCTATAATCACTCCAGCTGGTTTCCTGATATGTTTAACCTGCAACAAGAAACTGTCAAACACTAAAAAGCCACGGAGCTGAAGTCATCTTCTAGTTCAAATTCTCCCGTTCCACCTTAAACGGTGCAGCAGTTACATTCTGGTGTCTGAGGCACCTTTTAAGCTGGAAAGGGAAAATTCGATCAAGAAGCTGGAGAATGAGAAGCGACTTCAGCTTCATAAAAAGTTGAACGTTGAGAGACATTTTCAAGAAACTATTCCACTTTTAAGGAAAGCTTTTCTGCCGGAGATGTAAGAAAAGAGGCTAAAGCTGAGCTAAAGCTTAAAGCAGAGCAAAGTAAGTCTGTGTTTTCATTTATAGTTTTAGCCTATACTAGGACATTAGCAGCTCATTGGCTGTTTGTGCTCAAAGACATTAATGAACATACATGAGGCGCAGTTTTAAACTCCTATAACTCGAGTTTAAAAGCTCTTAAAAATATAACAGCAGTGTTAAAATGTTTTATGCTCTTCAGTGCTCAGGAAACGAATAGATTCTTTTACATTAAAAATGTTTACGCATTTATAAACTAGGATTTTGCTCAAATGCTCCATCGTAACCCATTCATTTTGAACTGCCTCGGGAGCGCCCTCTAGTGTTTGAGAAACCCGGAAGACATTACAGAGTGATGATTCTCTTCTCTACAAGTTCTCTGACTGTAGCTTAATGGTTTCATGGCAATGTTTGCAGGTTAGGCCGCTCGCTGTTGAGTCATTCTGTGAACAATTCTGATTCAGCCAGTTTCTCTATAATGGAACATTCACACCAAACCACTCTGAATGACTTTGCTTACATGGTAATGATATAATTATGCAGAAAAGTTGGACTTCCCTTTTAAAAATCAAATGAGAGAATGGTCTTCTGCTCTGTAAAATGCCTTACTCTCATTGGCAACTGGCAGAAAGACAGAGATTTTCAAATAAAGAGAATAATAGAATGTTGAATTAAAAATGAAATTAGGGCATAATAAACGAAATGTTAATATCCATAAAAAGTTTAAATATTTTCCAGCTCCATTCCAGTCGTATACATACACAGACTCCAGGGTAACCTATCCTGTGAAAGTCTGCAGATTCGCAACTAATAAAGCTTTCACTTTCCATAAACGTGAGATTCAATAACAGATGGGCTTTTCACAGAAAACAGATACTTCAAACACTTCCTCTCTCAAGACCCCATGATTAAAATGCTCTGCTGATATAATACAGAAACCATCTGCTCATGCAAAAATATTTCATCAAATGACAACAGCATATACCTAACAGCTGCGTCTCTGTGTTTTAAAAGGCGCTGACAATGCCACATCTCTCCTCAACTCCTGCAATAGGAGGAAATGTGACTGGACTCCAGGCTGCTCAGATATACAGCCCTGAAGTTGACACTTCACTGTGGATCCTTAAATCAACACTGCTAGTTTCTCTTCCCCACTCAGGTAGAAATCCAGGCTTGTGTTATTCCCAGGGGGAGCAGGAGGAGGATGGAAGAGGATGAGGAGAAAGATAGCAGAGGAAGCCAGAAGACACACTCAACAGGGTCTGTGATCATCATTAGAGGATCAGGAGCCAAAAGAAGAAGCAGTGTCCACTGCTCTCCACATTAGGGCCTGACCGATATGACTATGTTGCCAGTTATACTGGTATCGATTTAAAGGGGATGTAGGAAATGCTTTTCCTGTTTTAATTTTTTTTACCTATAATATTTCTGTGATTTTATTTACCAACACAGTCATAACTCATTTTTTACCCCTTTAGAATTAAACAGACAGTTTTTGTTACTGTGCCTTTAAGACTGACATATGCAAATGGACTCTGACTCAGTTCTGATCGACTGTCCTGTGCTGCGTTTCAGTCAAAAAGCAGTCCAGGCTGAAACACTCCTTATAACTGGACATAGGCTGGATATACGTAAATGTGTCCATTTTCGTGACACCACCAAAACAGTGAATTCAATACAAGCTGTTTGCCCAGCTTAGTTTCTATATATGGGTTATATGGACTGAGGAGTGAATGTTATGTACTGACATTTTAACCATGTTTACATACTATATCAAACTTTTGTTTTCAAAAATAATGAGGAAATTCAGTTTTCCATGTTAAAGGCCTTTTAAAGAGCTAAATTCTGATAGCCAATAACATCAGCTGATATCATTCTATACTTTTATTATATATGACTGTCAGTCCTAGACTGTCACATTTCTTAAAATCAAACATTAGAAACTCTTAGAGCCTTAAATTTTACAAATACTGTCGTGTGGAGGGCGGAGCTTCTCAGTATTCTTAGCGGTTGTGTGGTTTCAGTTAAAGGGCCCATACTGTATTATGGAAAAACAAACTTTCTTTGCTTTTTTGAAATACAAGCACTTGATGTTTTTTGCCCATCTTGGTCAATATTTGGAAACAAAGCTGTAAAAACAGACTGTTTGGAATTCAATGATTTGTGATGTTACAAAAAACACATTTACATATATCCAGCACATTTACATACATCTGCTATTCAGCCTGCCGTTTAGCTTCACCTACTAACACTGAAGATATAAGGAGTGTTTCAGTCCAGACTCTTCTTTGAATAAGGCACAATACAGGGCAGCCAGCATTTACACATCACTGCTGTCGGAACCAAACCTTGTATTTCCAAAATGGTAACTTTACAGGAGAAGAAAAAAAACCTACTTCACTTTTAATGTAAGTCAACGGAACCAGACTTTTTTCCATGCAATTCTGGGCCATTTCTTTTGCTCCATTCATCATGAAATTTACACACAATGTAAAGGGCACCAGGCATTTTCAAATTATGTCAAAAACTGAAAAACAATAAAAAATGGAGATAGAAGGTTTTGTTCTGACAGCAACGATATATGTCTTTACTTCTAAGGGACAAGGAGGTTGGAAAACGGTCATGTAAAAATGAATGAGGACTGTTTTTGGTACATAAAGCCAAATAAATATCCTAGGCGGACTTCAGGGAAAAAAAAATAAAATAGAAAAAAAACGTAAGATAAGGGCACTTTAATAAGCAATTCTTTTTCACAAAGGTTTATTGTTATAACATGTTATTCTTACACTAAAGGTTATGTTTGGGTGCATTATATATATTTACATGTTTACTAGTTTTGAACAATGATATAAGTTAACCAGTTTAGGCTGTATAGCTGTAATAAAAGTGAGCAACTGGCTATTATAGGTTGAGTAACCTCTGAAAACTCAAATAAATACAAATCAAAACACAAATATGGGCATTAATCAATGGTTTAATAGCTGATCACAATAAATCTCGGTAACCTTAATATTGAAAGATGTTCTTAGCCAAAAGATAAACTTCACATGGAGGAATAATCACAGAAAGAGAGAGATGAGGATGAGTGGAGCTACTGGAGAACAATCCTGATCTAATAGGAATGATATTGACTTTATAGTGATTGAGTTCTGCTGCATTTGAGGGGTCAAATCTGAAGGCCCTCTGCCTCAAGGCTAAGTGTGCCACCGAGCAATTACTTATGGCTCAATTAGAATACCAAAACAAGCGTGGATGAATAGTCTCCATTAGGCCTTCAACAAAGACCTGCTTTTAATCTCACGTGAGCTCTGAGTTTGGGTGTTGCTCTGTAGGCCTGCAGCAATAACAAGGCACAAAGGAGGTGATTTTTCCACCTTGGGAGCAAACAGACGATGCTCTTGTAGCACGAGCACAACTGCAGATGTGTTAGAGATCCCCCGAGGGGAGGAGGAAGTGTTTCCGGGCCCGAGCTGTGGGCTGTTAACTAAACAGACTGCCAACATAGCCACACCTTCTAAAACAAGGCCGCAAAGACCAGCCATGAAAAACAATCACACGGTGGACACAAAGACGGCCTCTTTTTAAATACGCCTAAAAAAGGACCAAATATGGTGATAAAACACTGAGTGCCCAGTGTGGTTAATGGGAACACCCTAAAACACTGACCATCAAAGGCTCATTTTTATATAAATAAGCAGACTTTGTGTTGTAACTAATTGGTAGTTTGACTATTTTAACAACAGATTGTAAGAGGAATAAAAACAAAAATATGTCACACACACACATAATAAGGCAGTAATATTTGTAATTAGGTTTTTAAAGGGGAATTACACCAACTTTTCGAAATTTCTGCAGATTTAAATTGTTAAGATGTGAAGTCCTTCAGAGTGGTTTGTTGTGAAATGTTACAGTCTAGAGAAACTCAGAGTCAGACTTGTACACAGTGGTGGTTTATTTGTTGGTTTGAAAAAAATGTAACATACTAAACAGACAAAGCAGGTTTTTGAGGAAACTTGAGGAAACTTTCCTACTTTCTACTTGAAAAAAATAATTTGCTTGTAGTATTTTTATAGACCTTTTAAAAACTTTTTGACACAGTTAACCATCATATTTTGTTGGAAAAGTTGCATAAATATATTTTTCAGGATACTACCTACAACTGATTAAAATATTACATCTCAAACAGCTGCTTGTTTGTGTTAAGGGTTGCTATTCCAGCAAAGTTTGATTATTCTTATTTAATTATTTGTTTAATAGGCATATCAAAACTTAAATATACTCAAAATATGAGCAAATAGCTGTTATGTTTTGCAGGTATTTTTTTCTTTACTGAAAAATAATAGCAATAAGATTTATATTTGGAAGTTGAGAATTGTTCACAATGGTGGTGATGGGAAGTAGATGCCCGAAGATTTTAATGCCACTAAAAGCTCTATCATATAAAGTTATTACACTGAATGGTTACAAATATGTTGCCTGATGCCTAAAATACTGTATTACAGTTTGTTTTTAATATAGTTTTTATAGTTTAAAATGGAGAGGGTTCATGCAGGGTGTTGTAAAGCAAAGTAGTCCCCAAAGACTTACCACTATTTCACCATTATCAACATTATAAACAGTGTAAGAATTCAAAAGACACATATAGGTTCACTCGTTGTTTTGGACATTAAATAAAATGGCTATTATATATATATATATATATATATATATATATATATATATATATATATATATATATATATATATATATATATGACCCCTGGTTTACGTCACCACCACTTTAAAGAAATAAGAGTTGGGAAGTTTCTTTACAACAAAGCATTTCATGTCAAAAGCCCCTGAATTATGCAGCAATTGTAAAAAAAAATAAATGGAATTCTCTTTTAATCAAAGAATTAATCTGTCTGGAATAAAAACCATTTAAACTGCTTCAAGCCACTTGAACTTCATTTTGTAGGTCAAATGGCAAAATATCCAGATACACACAGAGAAGTGGTCAGGTGTGGACTTACTGAGCTCTGAGATGCTGCCCACGCAGGTGGCCAGAAGAGCCTGCTCCAGTGTCCGCAGCTCCAGCTGAGCGCAGGCATCCTCTCTGCTCTCTGACCCCTGGGGACTGACCACCACCACCAGCATATGGACTGAAGTGGGCAGGCAGGGACAGCTCACCTGCGCACAAAACCAGGGTCAATAAGTCAGTAGTCCATTACTTCAGCCTGTGTTGTTTTGGGCTTACAATTATGTTTTTCTAGTTATTTTCTGTGTATGTTTTTTGTAGTTATCAGTGATTATGTAACTGCATCAGAGAGAAACGGCCTTACAACAAAAATATGTCACGCAATGCATTTACTGGTACAATGAACTGAAACAAAGATGTCGCGCCACAGTAGCTTAGATCATTAGTGCCATGTTGCTGCCACCCTGGTTTGTTGTCCAGAAGTTATTAGCAGTTAGTGGAGCGGGACAGTGTGCAATTAGACCAATGAGTCATGGCCCCACACAGATTTAGCCTCTATTAGAGATAAGAAAGAGAAGTCCGGGGACTAGCTACCATTTCCTCTGCAAGAATACCGCAGGGAGTCTGGGCCTAATCCTTACCCCAACATGACCTCTCCACATCTCTGCCATCTCTCCATCTTTCTGCCTTTATTCAGGCCCACTGTTATCACACAGCACTGCTGACTGACAGGGATTACTGAGTATATAAGGTTCAACATAATCCAGCATATTACTCTGTGCTTGTTAATTGATGGGACTGTACGCAAAATTCCTCTCATGATATCAGTGACCAACATTACCTCTCTACTGTTAACTACTACTATGTATTGTTAACCTGGTGCTTGCTCTGCAGAAAGGCTGTAGCAACAGAGCTATTAACTTCCACTATGACTTTAAAGGGCCCATAGGTCAAAGTCCAATAACCACTTTTCCACCTCTCTTTAACCCTCACAATTAAACAGGCTGGTTTGTTAATGCGCTTTAGAGACTGATATATGTAAATTGTCTCTGTTCCAATTGGCTTCCTTGTATTGCGCTTCATTCAAAAACAGTCCAGGCTGCGAGTCTCCCTATAATTTAAAGCTGCACTATGCAAGTTTTGGGGATTTGGAGACCTCTCTGGTGTGAAAGAATACCGTGGGTTGTGCTTTGGACTTGCTCCCCAAGCCGACAAATCTGATGACTGAGTGCATGCTGAGAGTATTCAAACAGAACTCAACAGTGAAGGACATGTCTTCCAAGGATGTGAGTGAATTATATACTTCTGCCATCATATCTTCACCAGTATAATGCTGATTTTGCATTTGAGACCAGAACATTGAGCTGGATCTTCTTTTTGAGACTGTGTGTGTGACGTTAATACTTAAAAGACATGTGATGTGGGCTGAAAAACTCCCAACATTTTTAGTGTGTTTTGTTTCCCTCCTGGCTCCGTAATGCAATTTCTTTCAATTTTAATAAAATATCTACCATAGTGCAGCTTTAAACACGAATGGGTGGGGCTAAACAACTGTAGGCTGGATATGAGGATATATGTAGAGGTTTAACGTTTTCATTGCATCACAAAAAACAATACATTTAGAATTGGCTGTTCTCGTAGCTTCATTTCCGTAAGTGGACTGTATGGACTGGGGGGTGAATGATATGTTTTGAAACTTAACACTGTTTTATTTAAAAAATGTGAGGAACAGTAGTTTTCCATGACATTGACCTATTAAATGTATTAATTCTACACTATTAAAAGAATTATTAAAAATTTAATATAATAGACTATGATTATCATGCTCTGCGATGGACTGGCGATCTGTCAAGGGTGTATCCTGCCTTCCGCCCAGTGACAGCTGGGATAGGCTCCAGCACCTCACCACGACCCAGAAGGATAAGCGGTTTAGATGATGTATGTATGTATGTATGTATGTATGTATGTATGATTATCATTGGGCTTTATAGCTTGGTATGCCAATAAACCTGGTTTCATACTGTGTGCATACAAACCAACTAAAAAAGGCACAAAAATTCCAATTACACCAATAATATCAGCTGATGTATTTTTATATAATTCATAAACTTCAATAGTTTGTTAATACAGTGCTTTACTGACTGATATGACTGTTTATAATCAATATGATAGTCAGTTCTCAATTGCTCAGAAAGTCTTTAAAATAGGTAAATAACATTTCTCACATTCTCAAAGAAGACTAAGTTTAAAGTACAAGCAAATATAGTCGTATGCAAAAGTTTTGGCACCCCTGGTCAACTTACTTGTTTTGTTGAAGTGAAAATAAGTTAACACATCCTTCACAGGGAACAAACTCTGGCATATTTTCATTCATAATTACTGTTTATTTGCTGACCTTAACATACTGCAAAAGGCATAAAATGTGTCCTGTGCAAAACATATGACAAATTTTATGTTTTATTTTTCCAATATGTTTATTTGAAACCCAGCAAATAAAGAAATTGTGAATTAAATTTTGCAGGAAAATGCCACATTTAAATTTGTTCCCTGTAGAGGATGTACTAACTTATTTCACCTATAAAATCATAGAAATATGTAATTTGACAGGGGTGTTTAAACGTTTGTATACAACTAGAATTGTATGTTTGGTTGTTCAATATAGCAAAGAATTCTTAAAATATTCTTGTATAACATCTAAGGCAATATTATCTGTGAAATTTGTACTGGATGTTGAAAAAATCTGTAGAGCCTCAATATCAGTCAATTTTATTGGCTAACTGTGTATCAGTCAGCCCCTAAGTCTGAATGGTACGGCTTTGTCAGGGGAATATTTGTAGAAGAATAAGTAAACAGGCTGAGATCTGGAGCTGTCTCTGATCACTCTCCTCGTCTCAAACTCAATACTTTCCCATACTGTTTGACATTATTTTGGATGAATATCCTGATTGGATTTTCCTGATTCCCAGTCAATCCAAATTCCCACAGCTTTACTCAGACATGAAGCTGAATTACAGGGCAGAGCCTTTGGAATGATTAGTTACCTTTACTGTCCCAAACAGCAGGGAATAATGCTTGAGCTGATAACAGCTAAACAATGAGAGCAGCATGATTTCGGCCTGTGATTTATGAATGATGCTCAGCTCCGAGAAGAAGAGATGGCTTTGGTGTTTCCGCTTTTACACACTGATTCAAAACCCATCCTTCTCTCTGGGATCTCTGTTTTACTAGTTATCAAAAATAAATCAAATAAAGGGATGAAGACGTGGATTTGTTTTCTTAATCAAAGTAAGTGATCGACCAGCCATCTGGGCACGCACGCTCATTCAAACCAAGCAAAAAACATTTCTCCAGATGTGGACTACTTGATATATTTAAGTAATTTTATATGGTAGAATTCTTTGAAAGCATTTGTCTTCAGTAGGAACTATTCACGTGAACAAAATTATTAAACACACACACGTTCACGGTCCATGCAGGGGTGTGAAATGTGGCCCCCTGGTTCAGCCTCAGATGTGCTTTGTGCTAAAGCAGCACATGCTTAGTTCAGCATTTGCTGACTGGCTACTTGATACAATAGAGCAGCCTCGTCTACCCGGGCAGCGTCCGCATGCAGGTCTCTTCAGGGAACAGTAATTTGTCAGCCTCAAGGACCGTGTACACTCAGAAATAGTAAAAGAGAAGAAATAAAAACTGAGGAGAAGCTTTTGAAATGTGATACATGACCTATAAAATGTGACCACTTTGCCATTAAAAGATGTAGACCACAGGGCTGCATGACATGGACTAAATACTACTATTGCGATTACTTGGGATTTACTAAAAAAAAAATTTCTGCTGAAAAAAGACAAAATGACTTTACAACGAAATGGTTTTACAACAAAAGAGAAAAAAGGCTGTGAGTTTTGAAGAAGCTCTTGAAGATCTTTTTTAAGTGTGATATGCTACATGTCATACCTGTGTGCACTCACCAGGACAGACTATGGAGTTAATTTGGTGCCAAAAATTTCAAATAAAATAATAAAATCCACGAGCAAAATATTAAGTATTAAAATGTCCAAAATATGTTGCAAATACAAATAATCAGACTTATATCAAACCTGTCACTCCAAATCAGCTGACCTATAGAGAGTGCAGGTGAACACCCTCTAAGACCCACCCCCTTTTAAAAAGTGCCCAAAGTCAGAAGCCAAAGATTGATTCCAGAAGCAAATATATCAGCAAAGTCTGCAAACAGAAACAAATTAAAGCAAAAACTGGCAAAATGAGTAAAACATTTACTCATGGCCAGTATCAAGAGGCAGCACAACAGCCAAGAACTTCACCATTACAGGCTTGATGGCACCTAAGAACACATCATTCCACTCGATATGCACAATACAGCAAAACTACAGAACCAGAAAGGAAAGTCTCTGCAGCACTACGACGCCATCTGTAGCCTCAGTTTTTAAAATGATAAATGTTCACAAACAAGCCTGCCAAAGTGCAAAGTCACTGCCTTAGAATGACCAACAGTTTTTGCTGTTAAGATCATTACCTTTAGTGATTTTTTTATATTTTTGTACAAAATTTCTGCACAGTGAAATTGTTAAATTTAGATATTAACTGTTAAGATGTGAACAAAGTCATTCAAAGTGGTTTGATGGAAAATAGTACAATGATTCATTCTAGAGAAACTTGGAAAGTCAGAATTGTTCACAGTGATGGTGACAGGAAGCAGATGTGTGAAGCCTGTAAAAGCTATCTGAAGAAAGAATTTACATGAAATGAATTCATGAAATGGTTATGAATACTCTGCCTGCTGTCTCAGACATTGGTCGAGAAGCTTTTGGGCTAAGATGTATTTTTTAAAATCTTTTTATGGTGGAGTGGCACATGGAGGCTGTATTTTTTTTTAGGATTTAGGACTTTCTTTAAAACTATCAACGTTACAAATAAAGTGTAGGTTCACTGTTTTGGATAGTAAATAAAATGGCTATATTTGAATTGTAGACATCACAACCCCTGGTTTTCATCACTACTGTAAAGAAATCACAGTTGGTCAGATTCCACATCACTCCACTCAGTAAAAACATCTCAGAAATTTTGAAAAATGGGTGGAATTTCCCCGTTTTTTATTAATTGTCAGCTCAGTTTTGTGCCATTTAAAGGACTCGCTCTATCAGTAATAAATGTTATAAAAGTTTCTCTCATTACACGGCTTTTTTCATTTAAA